GCCCCCCCAGCCACGGAAGCAGTGGTCATTTCCCAAGATCCGCAACGTCCAAGAGTTTGCAGATGCCTTGGAAGACTACCAGGACATGGACGATGCCACGCTCTACAAGCTGGCCGAAGCCATGTCTGAAACCCTCAACGTCTGGCAGACAGAATTCCGCGAGCTCAGGAAGGTTGTTGACGATGAGGATAATGCGGAGCGCCGCAAGAAGAACGATGTCTCGATCGTCAACTGGGAGAACAGGCTGAAAGCAGAGGATGCGCCGCATTTTCGTCGCCATTACGATGAACCCACCAAGGGACCGCCCGCCTTTGAACTCAAGGGTGTTCGCGCACCGAAGCCTTCGTCAGATGATCCCATCTACGAGCACCAAAAGGACCAGGATAAGATCATGGCCGCAGCATATGGTTTCAAGCACAACCCTCATGCCAACGCAGTTGGTAGGCAGAACATCGAAGAGCAGCGCTGGGACATCACCGAAACCCGACCTCACAGGAAAGGTGCTGGAAAGGCTGAACTTGCGGAAGAAAACGTTGTTGAAGGAAAGCGGGTGCGCAAACCCCGCAACCTCTCCGATCAAAGCAAGGACCCTAGTCGTGCCGGCACCCCTACCGGCGGTCCATCCGCTGTCGTCGGACGGCGTGGCAAGCGCAAGCAACTGGCTTCCAATGACGATTTGGTTGAGCCCTCTGATCAAACTCCGGCCCCGGAGATTGCTCCTGAGCCTGTAGTCCGCAAGAAACGTGGACCCAAGCCCAAGGCACAGGTTTTGGCGGAGAAAGCTCAGAAAGCGAAGGAGGAACAACAAGCCAAGGAGGCCCAGGAGGCATTAGAAGCCGGGCAAGCTGCTGCTGAGCCAGCTGAGCTAGCTAACAAGCTTCAGCAGGATGTGGAGCCCCAGATTGCTGAGGATATTCAGGAATCTCAGGATGCCTCACAGGTTTACGAGGCTGCCAGCATAGCACCTGAGGAACCCAAGCCTGCAGAGACCTGTTTGCCAGCAGAAAAGCCGAAACCCGGCCGCAAACGTGGTCGTGCGCCAGCCGCGCCCCCTTCAGTTGAGGAACCGCCTGCCCCTACGCCTGCCCCGATGGAAGCTGAGGAGGCGAAGACTAAGCGTCAGCGTCAGCCGAAGGTGACACTTCCTCCTGTGCAGGAGATCGCTCCGCAATCATTTTATAACAACTCTGTTCCTCTTGATAATGGTGCTCCAGAGCTGTCACCACCACAAGAGCAGCAGCAGGTGCAGAGGCCGTCAACCGCTTCGTCAGAGGGGACCAACAACACGGCCGGCACACCTGAATCCAGCTATTCGTTGCGGGATAAGCGGAAACGCAACTTTGCGCTCGAGAATGATCCTGAACTTGAGCCCAGGCAACAAAAGAGACCTCGCAACGCCGTTTCGGCTAAACCAGAGGGTCACGAGCCTAAGAAACGTGGCCCTAAGAAAAAGAACGCGAGTGTCACGAGCCAGCCTACCTCAGCACCCGCTCCTCCACCTCCAGCACAGGCTCCGCAGCAGCCTGTTGGAGGGTTGAAAGCCCCTGCCTTGTTCTTCAACAACGGACCACCCCCCATTGCTCCGGCACCTGGTCCTTCGCCCTTTATGCATACTTTCAACGCCGCTCCAGCCTTCCCACCCGGAGGTCCTCCGCCGCAGGTTCCCGCGCCACCGGCTATCACCAAGCCGTTGACCCGCATCAAGATCAAGAACCCCGGACCCTCGTCGATGGGTCCTGGTTTCGTCCATGTACCTCCTCCACAAGCAGCTCCTCCGGTCAATACTGGTCCGCATCCTACCTTGAAGGGTCCAGGTAAAGCACCTCGGGCTCCAAAGGCGGTTACGCCAACCCCACCTGAGCCGGTCGAGCCTCCAAAGATGATGCCCAGTGGGTTTGCTCTGGCCAACACCACGGAGCCGGATAAGCCATATGCTGAGATGAGCAAGTCGGAGAAGATGAGCTATTCCATGAGAAGTAAGTACCGCCACTCTGCCTTTGATCAATGCCTTCGTAAGCTAACAGAGACCTAGGACGGTGGGCTTCAGGTGAGATGCAAGGGGCAGTTGAAAAGCGCCGTACGACATTGGCCAACAAGAAGGCAGAAAAGGCGGCAACCGGCGGGCCAAATGGTAACGAGCCGGGCATAATGTCGATGAGCCAGACACCGGATCCGGTTTCCGCCGGCCCCTCCACTGGCGCCTCGGCTCCGACAACACCAAGCATGGGTCCCACCCACACCGGGCTGCTGGCTTTGCCACCCCAACCCCAGAACGTTGCGGTCTCTCAGGGCCATCACCAGGTGATGCACAGCTTCCCCCAGTTGCCACCACATATCATGCCTCCGCAGCATATGCCTCCCCAAGGGATGCCTCCTCAGTCGATGCCCCCTCAACAAATGCCCCATCAGTCCATGGGTCCCCATTCGATGGCTCCGCAGCAGCCGATGCCACCGATGGCCCAGATGGCACAAATGGCACCAATGCAGGTATCACAACAGGGTCCGGGTCCGCATGGACAGGGACAGCAGATGCCGCCGCAAATGGCTCCGATGCCCCCGATGCATCAACAACAACAACAACAGATGCAACAGATGCCCCCATTCCAGCATCAGTATCAGCATCAACAACAGCATCAGCATATGCCGCCTCAGCAGCCCATGCAGCCGTTGTCGTACCCTTACCCTCCTCATCATCCTAATGGGCATGGACCCATTGCTTAGGAGGCAGAGGCTATTGACCCCCGGTTGATGTAGCGAGTTACACGGGATAGGAGATCAGGGAGATGAAGACTGGATGTAGGAGGACTGGATGATAAGTGGTAGAGACGGATATACCCGCAAAGAAGAGGATATTACTTGCTTTTAAGGATATCAGCAGGTCAAATTCGGTTTTATAGTTTAGGTGTTTTATTTTGGCTATATGGATGCATGATAGAGCTGCAAAGCTCTTGCTCGCATCTGTTTTGAGTTCCTTGGTTCAACTCGGAACTTTAGGGCGGACAACGAAGTAGGAAAGACAAAAGGAAGGAAGTGAACGGTCACGGACATAGATAGAGATGCATTTGGAACTGGAAAAGGGCATCATTGCACTACTAGCATTTCAGGAAGAAGGAAAGGACTGTGGCAGTCAACTGACAGTCAAAGGGGTGCATTTACTCGTGCGCTCGGCGTTTTCATAGCCTGAGTTGCTAAGCTCAGGATGTTATTGCATTGGCAGCGGATAGTCGTTTGCTCTCTCACAGCATGGTTAGCGCTTTAGATGCCTACATAGCATTCGAATTGAGGTAGCAGTCAAGAAAGGGATGTTTTGACAATTATAATACTTTCAGTGGTTATGTGGTGTCGTGTTTGCTCATCATCATTATCATCATCATCATCATGTTTTTTCTCTCGCTCTGGACCAATGGGGAAGGAGCGAGGGTCTGATTCGGGAAAGGGCAGTTGTACCTCTGTTAATGAGGCCCAGCCTAGGTACAGTACGTAGGTATCTTGCGTGGCATATGACTCTCTACTACTCTTCTCAGAGAAATTCTTACCAGGTTACTTGTCACCATGGATAGTTCCTGCCGCATGGGTGTTTATGGTGCCCGACCGGGGACTGGGGCAGAGACGTTATGGGTTTTCTTTAGGAAAGCGCTGTGAGATATGGTACATCAAGGATGAAACAGCCGTCCTTTCCCTGGCTCGAATATTAGCGACCTAGAGGTACCAAGTATGGCGAAATCAATTGCTCTTCAAGTTCTGGGAGGACCGAACCCGCCTGTAAGTACGACTAACCGGGCGGCCAAGATCACCAGCTCGTCCCTTAGGTTCGTTCTCCAAGTGCATCCTGACTTCCTCTTTTCTCTCCCATCACAAGACAACTGCAACATCGCACGCCAATTTCGCTCAGATGGCTCACGGCCGCACTGCAGCATTCATGGGAGCTGATGGGACCTTGTGATCTCAGTTTATTCTGCACGGCAATTATTTGGCAGCTGTTAGGGTGCCGTGGCTTACGTGCTGTCTCAAGTCAACGACTTCGGATACCCTACCCAATTTCGCCCACCATGACCACCGGCTGTACCCACGCGGGCAGGGGGGATAAGTGTATAAAACTCGACAGCTATGTAGCGTACAGTGGGACAACTGGTCAGTCGCGCTTGTGAATCCTGAACAAGTTCTTATTTGGGCGGGTATACTTACTATGATAAATAAAGAGGGAAACGGCATACCCATATCCAAATTTCAATCACGTTACAAGAAATCCGAATCATCTCCCTTCCCCAGAGGCTCTTATAATCATGTAATTAGTGCCCAACTGAGCTCTCCAATGGTCCCTCTTTCCAACTCGCGGTTGACTCCCTCTCCCCGTCGTGTGTACACGTGAGTCCCCTTGTGTCAAATACTTCCGTTCATCTTCCCTTTCATCATGTTGACAGATTTCGTACCTGGCCAATCCTTCTGACTGAGCACCTCCTTCGATCCATCACCGGCTTTCAGTCTACGCCATGCGAACTCAATATCAATGCTCCTTCAATGGCCCTGTTTAGTTCGACTTGTCGTTCTTTCATTCCTTGGTCCCAACTTTGGGTCCTCAAAATAATACCTTCAATGGCACTGTCCTTTGTAGTAGATTAACCCCTTCACTTTGGTCTCTTTGGCCACGTTGGGTCCTTACAAAGCTTCCATAGTAACTTGCAATCGATTTGCCCTCTTCGACTGTGACTCTCCACGCCGAATATTTGTCCCAGTACAAAACCTTGCTCTCTAACAACGCAACTATTTTGATGTAGGTCTGGACGTTGTTATCTGTCTCGGTGGGTGAACCGGGCTTATGTCCAATACCATGCCGAACCAGCATCTGTGTCATTCGTGGCGAGCGTAACGCGATTGAGCAGTCTAACGGAGAGACTGGGGGATTTGGATCAGAGTCTCCTGAAGGCCAAGTCTCGCTCTCAAAATGGGACTTAGCGCTCAGCAGATCATTCACCACCGAGCAGACATCTTCTTGGTTCAAATCTCCGCACAGCGCGACAATAAGTGGGGTGAGGCCAGATCGTGTCTGGCGAACGGTCAAGCCTGTTGAAGCCGACATCATCAACAGAGCCTGGACCGCATATCCTTGCCATAGAGCTGCTGCATGGAGAGCTGTCCATCCCGAATCCGATTTTGTTTGTGCCCTGTCGTCCCAGCCGATGAGAAACAAGTCCTGAGACGGTGACTTCTTCACTTCTTCGAGCAAAGCAAAAAATATGTTTCTTTCGCTTGCAGCATCTTCATCTGCAAGTGAACGCGTTGGTTCGAGTGCAAAAGTCACCATAGTATCGATTAGGACTGTTGGCCAACTCTCCATTGCTCGTAGCAGGCGAGGCATTCTCTGAAGAACGGTGTCGCATCGAGAGACGATAACTAACCTCAGCACTTGTACCACATACTTGTCCAGGTTGTGACGGCGGTAAGATGCAAAGCTTGCTCGTATCAAGGCCAGAGCTAGGTCTTGCTCTTTTCTCTTCAGGTACCCCTGAACAGCGGCAAAGTCTCTTTCGATATGACTATTGATCGACGGCCTCTTTATCACATGACCTGTAGGCGTCATGAACTGGCGTATGTGTGAGCGGAATACTAACTCAGCTTCGCATTTGACTCGGCGCAGTGTTTTCTCAAAGAGAGGTAACTCAATGGTTTGGTGGATTGTGACCATTCGGACTAGGTTCAAGTCGGTATGTAGACAGGCATATTCTAATAGCCGATGGCCCAGATGTTGTCTGTCTTGTATGTGGCCAGGTATCCCTTGTTCACACACATATCCCCAGAGCTTAGAGAAGGTGTCCGAATACTTGGTTCTCGCTACAACACCTAGGCAGGCGAAGAATGGCTCTTCCATGGAATGGGGATTTTCGGTCGAGGGCCGCATTGAAGCCAAGACCTCCAAGACAGCAGGTACCGCTATCTCGCCGACTGCATCGACTGCGACCGTGGGAGAGGCAAGGTATGCCCTTCCGATTAGGGACCATAAGCGACTTGCTGCGGTTTCGACAGATATTTTCTCAACGTGAAGGTGTTGCGTGGCCATATGCCCCTGTTGAGACCCAAACAATTCATCCGGCGTTGGCCAGTGGTTTCTGATCGTGTGTTGTAGTGAGCTACTTTGTGCATATAGGCCCTGCCGCTCGGATTGCTGGGCTCTTAGGTATATATAAAGCAGGGCAAGACAGTAGGCCGCGGCGATCAAAGAGGGGCTGGCAAGGCACTTCTCAATCATCATCATGAGCCACTCCAGTTGTTCCTTTCCAGCAAAGCATTTTGTTGTGGAAATCCCGTCCACTACAAACCTACGAGAAAAAGTAATGATCCCCACATCTTCAAGGTGCTCGTTGATGATACAACGATATAGATGCTCGTGCAAGTGCCCGAAGGCATACTCCAACATCCCTCCTTCTTCGCCTAGGGAACGATTCCACGGAACTGAGACGTGTGGCGGTCTGTCATAAGCCAGTGCCTTCCAGAGTGTGTCGATCCTGCTTCCGTTCTCCTCACTTAACCGAGCAGTGTGCTCAGCCCAGTGTCTTGAGGCGTAAGGAGAGAAGCAGCGCATTTCCTCAATATCTCTTGCTTGAGCCCTTAGGAGAATGGGGAAGATGTTCAGTTGTTCAGGTGTCACTTTTCGTTGTTTGTCCCCTTTGATGTGTCGAACGACGCTGGCCACAATGGGATTGGAACATGCCGCTTCTTTCTTCAACTTCTCGGAGACAAGGTTGGGGTCGATAACCTGTCTCGAAGCCATGCGTCTGTCGAACTCGCCAAAGTTGAGGTACGTTACGCAGACGGACCCCATGAACGAGTTCGCATCTGCAAGCCAGCCCCGTGGTAGATCCCTGCCATCCATTGCAGTCTTTTGTCCGTACAAATGTGACTGTACGCTGTGGTGAATGAATCGAACACAGTTGTCTTCCTCGTCGATCTCCAACAAACCTCCTCCACAGCGAGTAACAACCTGCTTAGGGCTTCGTGGAAGCTTGGTCCCGTTCCATGTGGGGTCGCCAGGCTGAACAGTGAGGGCAACATTGAGCTCTTCCCCGGTAAGATGGGTGTCGACTACGGCCGCCGCGGCAACCAATTGAAATATTCGGTCGCCATATTGCCGGTCAGAAATTCGAAGAAGGGCTTGGTTAAACGCTTGCGGGAGATCTTTTGGCAAGTGATGTAATATTCCTCGCACTGACTCGTCGGTCACCACACCATCGTTGTATGAAGGAAATATCGCTTCCAGATGTAGCGATACCCAGAGATACCTACCAGGCCCCTAATTAGAACACTTGACAAACCAATGACAATATGTTGCGGATAACTTACATTCCCTGGGCCCCCACAGTCAGCGCCGCCGTTATCTGTTCCACCAGCTCCTCGTCCAATTTCGGTAGGCGGGAGGCATTTCGTCTTTGTACCTCTGATATGATGTACTCTCCAATCTCACCGTCTCTGTCTGCGTTATTTAGGGACAACGTAACGGCCGTTCCAAGGTACTTCTGTGTCATCTGGGCAGAAAGCCCCGATGCGTTCAGTCTGGCCGAAATGCACACTGATATCTGATGTGTTGCACGAAGTTCTTGCAATACTTGCAAAACCAGTTCAACTTCCTCCTGCGCACATTCGTCCAGTCCGTCGAATATGATATGGAAGGTTTCGTTCTTGGGCAAGAGCTTTTCTAGAAGGTGCATAAATGAGGATATAGTCCATGACACTAGGAAAGTATCGGGACTCTGTTGGATCAATGTCTCCCACCGCTGGCGGACCAAGCTAGACTGCACCAGCTGATGGGCAATGCTGCCAAGAATAGTTAGCCCTTCCAACGTGTTTGGATCATCTCTTTTGCAGATGAAGCCAGCGTAGGTCTTGTTTTCCATTGGAGCATCAGCCATGATGGTAGCAAGGGCAACAGTTTTGCCACAGCCAAGGTGCCCGGTAACTCGTAACACAGACTGGAGTCCCGATTTCCAGGACTTGTATTCGGGCGTGGTAAGAATCCAACTCGCTGTTCCGCGCTTTCTTTCTCGTCTCCATATTGCATCCTGTTGGCCTTGTCTGGGAGACAGATGGTGCAAAAATCTTTGCCTTTGTTCGAGTGTGTATTGTCTTTTCCGTGACTTGGAAATGTGCTGTAGAATTCCCTTTGTCTCCTTCCTTGCCGCTTGCTGTCCGGCTACGACTTGGGTGCTCGTAAGTATAGCAAAGTGTTTCTCGATCAGATTTCCGTACGTGTTCAGCTCTTGCTGAATTGCCCCAAACTCATTGTCGAAGGTCGAAAATATGGAAGACGCTAGAAGCAGGTATGATGGTCGTTTGGTGACCTCGATTATCTGGTGACAGAGACGGACGACTCTAGTAAGGTACTCGGCAAACAAGCCCTGTAGCTCGATTGAGTTGGGGAAGTGCTTTGCGAACTCCGTGGTGATGGACCATGATTGCGTCAGTTTCATCAGCAAAGATGATACCTGGTCAAAGTAAGCATAGTGCCCAATCGCTGCCTTAAGAGTTCGGTTGATATGTCAGCTACCATATTACTGGGCATCGGACAGTAGCAATATAGCCGTGAAACTTCATAGTTACCTGAAGAGATACCCTCAGCGCCGTCCATACTCCTGAGGCAATAAGACTTTGTGAGCCTCCAATCAACACGTCTCCAGCCTCTGCGTATTTCTGGATCCGATCGAGAAAACCGCCAAGTCGTGTCCCAGCCGGTGTCCAGGAGGCGTGTCGCCGAGCACCCTCTCGGTTTAACTCCTCAGTGACCTTCATGACGTCAGACGCAGTGGGAGCTGAGCCAGCGCATTGCGCTTGTAATCTCATGAAGTCCCTTTTCCTCTCCTTATCCAGGGCTTGCGCAAACTCGGACACGGCTTGAGCTAGCCGCAGTTGTGGTGGCAGCTGAGCCGGAGCCGATGTCTTGACGAGTGCAGTGCTGGTGTTCCAGCCCATTATGATGACGGTGACTAATGAGACGAAGAACGCTCAAAGGTCGTGCCTTCAGCCGGTAAGTTTCGCAGGGAATTGGTCCAGTAGCAAATTTACACACAATGTTCCGAGTCAATCTCACGTTGGATCAATCGCCGGTCAAAATTCGCAACAAATGATACCCGACGAGGGACAAGCTCCAACAAGAACGACGGCGACAATGCGCACCCCGACGCGCCTTTCCCCGCCCTCGAGGTTTAGGGCCCAGAAAGCATATCGGCAACCAATCGTTGTTCTCAGCCAATTACCGTCTCCCGGGCGCGTAGCTGAGCATATCCTACTGCGCGGATGCCAAAAATCCTCTTGGGGTGGTATCGGGCTAGGTATCGGTGGCCTTGACTCTCGAACGGTGGCGGCCGGGTCGCCTGCAACCTGTTCGGTAGTTTTTATTCGATTTCGTAGTGCCAGGAATATTTGGGCCCAACAGGGCCTTCGACAATCGGGTTAGTGAGTTGATGCGGGTTACAGCCGATCACAGGCTTGCCAATATACATTGGTCAGGTCCTAGGGAACGATCCAGTAACAGCATTGGGTGTATTCTGTTAGGCTTTGCTTGTTTGACCTTACCGCGGTTTGAGGATATCCAATCGAATGAGTAAAAAGCGGTAGGTAATCGGCGTCTGACAAGCCTTACAAGAGCATATAATTCCGTGACGCGGTTTATCATGCGAGGCGTGTTGAGGCTACCAGTAAATGCAAAATACCACGGGAAAAGCTTGCGTATGTCCGTTGTTCAGTAATGGTGTGTGGCCATGGTGGTGGTCCGGGACGCGGGACGACCTATTTTGCGTCTGAGAAGGAAAGCCCAAGGTTCTGGTCCAGATGAATGCTGCGTGTACCTGGTATGCCGGGTTTTGCACCAGATTTTCTCGGTAGGGCTTGAAGACACTCGGGGAGAACTGCCCCTAATCATGTTGGAAGACACCAATTAGGTGGTTGACCAGGCGAAAGAAGCGAGCACTTGCAACTTCCCGACAAGCAGGGACGACTGGCGCACCGTGTATCCCGTCCTACAGAATCACGCATCAGCAGCGACGATGTTCGTTTATTAGCACGCGTTATCTGTTGGATGACGCCGAACTTGAGTACATTTATCTGAGATATGGATCACTCTCGCTCCGATGGCTGCATAAGAGGGGCAAGAAGAGGAAGAAAAGATTCATGGATGAGTTGTAAGTTTTGTTACGGCCTGCCGTCGCTCGCGTGGCCCGCTGCAAACCGGAATCCCTTTCGCCACACGGACTTCCATTTTTATATACTTAATTTAAAGTGATCATCATAATTAAGGCAAGATGGCCGAGCGGTCTAAGGCGCCACGTTAAGGTTAACCCTTAATCTCCTCTCAGAGTTCCGTGGTCCGAAAGGGCGTGGGTTCGAATCCCACTCTTGTCAGTATTTTGTTTTTTTTCTCTTTTCCGTTTTTCTTTTTCTTTTGCCGTATCTGTTCTGAGGAATGATGCATGCTCGCATCAATATCGGTTCGACGCCATGTTACTCTCTTGCAAGACTCCGCCAATAATGGCCTATTCCGGGGCGGATACGGCACAAAAAGTCTGGGTAACGGCTTCTGAGCACCAAAGAAGCAATCGCAGACCCAAACAAGAGGCTGTTAAGTCCGAGCTGAGTCGCATTCGCATTTCATCATCCAATTCTTCAACGCTTTGACGCTGCGGTGTTACCTCAAGAGCTGAACTAACCTCCTATGGGACTAGAGAAGCGGGAACTTCAGATGGTACTCATATACTGGGTATATAAACCGTCAGCTTCTGTGCAAAGACAGGTTTCATATGTCTCCGTAACCTCATCACTTACAAGTTCACACAACTTCAAGTGTTAGAAGACATCATGACGTCTCTAGGCAACTGGACATTCGTCCCCTACCCATCCTTTCTCCCCACGGTGTTCGCCAACACCGCGCTATGGAACGTCAGCAACGCCGTCAAGCAGAAGGAGTACCAGATCCAGATCTCATGGCCGTTCAAATGGGAGTCTCGCGAGGTGGCTAAGCCCGCTCTCGCCATGTAAGTCCCGGCCATCCGAATTATCCCCACGACAAAATCAACTGACGCCATGAAAAAAGGTACCTCCTAGACGGCAACGCCCTAGGCATGACTGCCTCTGAAGCCTTCAAGCGGCGCAACGAAGTCGAATTCGCCCAGCCTGACAGCGTTGTCGTCAGTATCGGCTACCCGCTCACCGACACCGTCTACGGCCTGACCCAGCGAGCCGTCGACTTCCGGCCTCCTATTCCTTCGCCGGAGAACATCACCGCGGGCGCGGACGACTTTATCGAGTTCATCGACGAAGTCCTCCGTCCGTGGGTGCACGATACTGTATTCCCCAGTGTTGAGTTTACCCGTGAGGCGCTGTACGGACACTCGTGGGGCGGAATCTTCACCATCTGGGCGCTGATCACCCGCCCGGACTGGTTTGATACGTTCTTCTCTGTTAGTCCGGCGGTGTATTGGAATAATGGCTCAATTCTGGATGTAGTGACGGAGAAGTTGGGCAATGGGACTGTTGGTTCGGGTTCGACTCCGGAGACTGAGGCGAAGCCCAAGTTCTTTCTCGGTTATGGCGCGCTGGAACAATTCCCGGTTCGGAGGAGGACGGAGACGGAGGAGGCGTTCCAGCAGCGCAAGTCCATCATCCAGAGCTTTCAGATGACGGATTATTCTCATGAGTTGTTTTATCGAATTGAGGGCAGCAAGAGGATGAAGGATGTGCAGCTGAGAGAATACGCTGGCCAGGATCACTTCGGAGCAGCTTCCAGCGCGATCACGGAGGGGATTGACTATTTTTTGGACTGGTAAACAAGATATGAGCAGATTCGTCCACATGAATGTGAATACCTTGTGCCCGACCATGAGACAAGCACATAGCTCGCTTCTTTCTTATTTCTGGAATAAATCTTCAACAACAAACCTGGCTCGGCGCAGTCTTCCTTTCCATGATGACCCGACGCCATACCTCCTGAGCATTCGTAGCATCTCGTCTTTATAATTGTATTCTTCGGTTCCCTCAAAATATGAGAGGGGCAGGTTGAGCCCGGTCCTGTACAACAGATCTTTGTGTAAATTGGCCAACTTGGACAACAGCGCTGCTCGATCCCTAGTCCCTTTCAACGCATATTGTATCCATAGTTCAGCGATTTCAAATCTTTCGCCAGCGTCAAAGGTCGAGATCTCAGCCGCTACCTCCAGTGACGGGCATGCCAAAATGCCTAACATCGATCCGGTCCTAAGAACGATAGGCCAGAGAAGATCTCTTTCATTGCCTTCGACAGTGTAGCAAGCAGGTTCAGCAATGATCTTGGTCCGGACATAATGGAAGGCAGGGCCACCGAAAGCTGCTGCCATAGCAACAAAACCATAGCTCTTGCAACTCTGGCGACCGGTGAAAATCCAACACTGCCGCTCGAAATCGTCACGACCGGATAATGCTTGTTTGCTGGACGCCTTCTTTATCTCATCTGCCAGCCTGTCAATCTCTGCAACCGAACGACTGCGATGCTGCTCCGAAACCATGGAAAGGTGGCGAAAAGCCAAGAGTGTCTAACCATGCGAGTCACCACAGCACTTGATTCCATAATTCGCCAAGTGAACAGTGCTTGCTAAACCTGTCACCAACGCCATATGTGCATCAAAGCCTGGTAGGACCTCAAGCTGAATTTCGTCACATCTCGCCATGATCCAATCGTGTGCCGTTCGATGCAAATAGTCGACACAGCCTGATGGCTTGATTTCCAAAAGTCCTTTCGTACGGCTTCGCAGTCGCCTTGCAAAGATTCTCGCGGAAAACGGAGATGTCGCTTCCAGTACAGAATACTAAAGAAGAGCCTGCGGTAAACCCTGAGAAAGCCAAGGAACGGTATTTTTCACCCGGCTGTATTCCGCAGACTCTGAGTCTGAGTATTGATCGAGTACGCAAAGTAACTGAGACCTTTCTCCTTTGTGTTCAGATTCAACACGAGACCAGAGATTGTCGTAAAGATCGCTGAGATTACTGGGAAGATCGTCTAGTAGACGATATGAATCCGTCAAGGTGTCGCCGTCGACAATTCCGCCAAGAACCGAGTCGGTGACTAATGAGACCCAAAGAAAGACACCCTCAGACTTTCGAACAATGTCAGTGATCAGTCCATCGACAATCGTAGGCTGGTCGTTCCGAAGCTCTGCGATAGCTACATTGGCCTTGAATTTCCCGTGGACCAATGCCTCCATATCCTGCTGGGTGAGAAGCTCCATGCGGAGTTGAGGACAACCACTGAAAGCGTCACTGAAAGCATTCCACGGCTGACTGCTAACGCAAACTTTGAGGCCAGGTTGAAGATGAAGATTCTTGATGAGTTTTATAAGCTGAGAATGGTCTTCCTGGAATTCGTCCAATCCGTCAATAAAAATTGCAAGATTGAAGTCATTGGTAAGGTGTTTTATCGAGGCCATACAATCCTGAAGTTCCTTACAGCTCCATGCAGGAAAATTGCGTGCAGCGCTAACGCCAAATAACTTGAGCATGGCCCAGCGATTAGGTAGTAACCTGAGGGCAGTTTGAGGGGCCTGTCGAATAATTCGGTACAGAAGACTGCGTAACAAGCCTTCCTGAGATTTCTGCAGTTCGCCGCCGGTATTCCAGGAGAAATATGCAGCAGTATGAAATGGTTTCGGACCAGACCACTTGAGAAGTTGTGCATTCATCCGTTCATTGATAAGGATGAACTTCATCAGTGTGGACTTTCCAGACCCCGGTTTACCGGTAATCCAGTACACGTTTTCTGAATTTTGTTCGAGCCACTTCGAAAAATCCCCCCAACTGCGGTTGTCCGGATTGCTTCCAGATATTTGGGGCTATCCAAATATCCAGCCGTATGTCGCCTCGTACGCCTCCGGTATGGCTTCATGACGGGCCTCCAGCGCTCCGAAGTTTAATAGTTGCAGAAGAGTTTCGATACAGTCGACGTCGCTGAGCTGTTGCTCCTTCCATGGAGTGATCTCACTATCCTGCTGTTGCATATTCTTAGAGCAGGGATCCATCAATGACTCGAACTTTTTCCGTGCGCTGTCCGACCGAAGTTGTCCCCCAAGTGTTTCTGTATCAGAAATTGCCGTGGTCGAGGACTTCTGGGGCTGTCTTTGCGTCCGGGTTGAACGATCCCTAAAAAAAGTCAGTTAGCCGACGGAATGTTGAACAAGTGTTGAAGAGATTGTGTACCATAAGTCTGAGATCATTGTCAGGATCAATGTTGACCTTGTTTTTTGGAGGTTTCGTTCTAGCTCCACAATCTGGCTTTCTGCTAGGGCGAGTTGGAGAGAGTCTCTGAAGTCGGAATACATCGATTTGCATTCCCGGAAGGCGCCAGCGACTAGGTTCTTCCCCCTGGGAGGAGAAACACCAACCATAACACTGGTAACCCCCTTCTCCTGTATCTTAGGGATAGAGCTGGCGATCTGCTCCCCTATGTCCTTGCAGTTGTCGCACGCTTCCAAAAGCCGCATCTCCACTACAGTTAGAATACCACCAGACCGCTGAAGAAGTGTCATTCTCTCTTGAATTTGTCCCGAGAGTTCGAGCAATTCACCAGAAAGTCTCTCTATACCCACGACCTTCTCGCGAACGAAAGATGCATCTCTGAGGATATCTGAGGGTTTTTTAACAAGGCCAATTCCGAAGTCGACAAACTGCACGACTGCAGCTGCCACCGATAGAGCGCTCAAAGGATCCATGTTATTTGTCGGGACAAGGCGAGTGATGTGATTGGGGACGGCTTTGTGGATGCGGCGGGAAGCCAAATGCGTAAAGAGTCAGAGAACAGATCATCGATCAGGGTGTCTGTGAATCGTAGATATCACCAGCGCATGGTCGAATGTCGCCAAAGAAAGACAGAGATGATTTAAACTTCCAAGGCTGTGTTGTGTGGGCGTGAGTAAATGCACGAAATGAGTCCGACGGTCCTGGCGTTAGGCAGCCATGGCCGAAACCACTTTTGTCCATTTCCTGAAATTCTGCAGACCACGAGAGGCTGGAGGGCGTTTCCGTGGCAAACCAATCATGGGCACTGTCGCGCAGTGCAACATGAAAGATGTCCTCCTAAGGATGCCGACCTTGTCGGCGGCATGATGCAGTCGCCAAATCAGTTCTGCTCGATCACAGCCACCGGTGAGGTTGCGATGCCACCGTCACAAGTAATTCGCGTCGTGAGTACTGCAGTTGTAGATTCAAACGATACAGGCCAGTCTTGCTAGGGTGTCAAAAGGAACGCAACGCGAACTAGCCAAGAAACGTTCGGTTGAATAGAGGTTGAAGAAGAAAGGAAAATCAACAACAAGACGGACCGACAAGTTGGGAATAATTGACCAATTGAGAGGTTGAAGACAGGAGAAGAGAAGGGGAACTCCCCGCTGAATTCGGCGTAGTAGGGGAGAGGAAGTAGCGCCACTTTCACCTGCTCCAGGAAGAGGGGATTACCCGCAGAATTTGGCATGAAGACAGAATCTGCACAATGGTCGGAGACGATTGTGACGAGGGCCTCGGTTCGCCGAGAAGCAGCCAAGCTGTACGGGAAGGAGCACATGTGGAAAAGATTTTGAGGTGGCACAGCTTGTGACCGTTCGGACGTCTGGCGCGACGGGATCACGAAGGAATTGACTGTTCGTGGTTGGTGAGGGAGTGAAAAACCATGTATTTTCCTGGGCATTTTGATTTTTGAGTGCGCATACCATTTCCACTCACAGCATCAACTCACTGGCAAACTGATCGAAGCCAGATATGCCCGGTGCTACATTTTTTGAGCAAAACCAATGGTTTCGTCTGAACATTAGCCAGGGAGTGAACACGAACAGGTCTGGCAGGTCAGGTGGTGTCTCCAACCTTTATCTTCCCCCTGCACAACGCCGGTTGATTGCTCATATAGATGATCCGAAGGATGCCTGGCTTGGCGAGTCATACACAGAAGCAGTCTCACTCTGGTTAACAGACCAAGGCTGATCCAGTTCAAGAGCAGACCCTCCTGACTTGCTCGAGCCGTTCGACAACCAAGTTGACCATCGCCGAATCCGTGCTCTGATTGGGCCGACCACGCCATAACTCTCCAGCAGCTTTTCTATCGCCTTTCCATACTCCATTGACTTCTCTACGTTGGGCCTGTCGTTGTTCTTCTCATCAGCCGGCTTCGCGACGGTAATCTGAGAAGCGAGAAGCAGGTTCGAACTTTCACCATTGGTATCCGACGTGACCTCCTTGTACAAGGCGCGTAACTGCTTTTCGAACCCAGGAAACTCCCTCGGGGTTTCTTTCATCTTCTGGAGAATATCCTGAGCGAGTAGATAGCGATCTTGCGGAGAGCATGCGACACTGACTGTTCCCCGGATACGGTTGACTGCCTGTTTCAGACTTGGCTTGTCCGCCAATGGAGAAATATCATGATGAGTGTCGTTGCCTGTCAGCTTCTTGGCCTCCTGGATTAGATGCTCAAATTCTCGCGCAAACGTGAATTCGACAGGCCCGTTGATGAGTCGCCACAAGATGTCGTCATCGTCTCCCATGACTTTCAGGTACTGATTGCTCGATTGCCCTGACATAACCTTCACTCGGACGTAATGGAGCACGCCAAATTCTGCTGCCAAAGAAACCATGCCGTATACGCGCGGAGGATCTCGTTTGAGACCCGCCCAGTAAGGCAGGGGACAGTTCCGCGTCTGAGACGAGCCGACAAGTGCTAGGGTTTCTGCCAAGTCGTCCAGGGCTTCTGAGAGTCGTTTGCAGTTTTTCTCGTTTCTCACTGTCATCCGCGATGCGTGGTAGAAGCATTGTGCGATCATCTTCCAAGACTTGTCGTAGTAGCGAAACCATGGCACAAATGTTTCCCGTGCCCTATTGAAACCCCAGTTCGTCGGATCAGAAGATGTTGACGAGATGGCAAGAACGAGTCCGAGATGTGGATCGAAATCCTTGGGCACCTCCGCCGCTATCAGGTCCCAATACGTGCGCATCCAATCTCTCGCTGTGCGATGTAGATACTCGACGACGCCTGACACCGATATCTCCAACAGATCCCGTGTTCGACTTGTTAGCCGTCTTGTGAGGTTTCCAATGATCTGTTCGCGCTTCATTCCTCGGTGACCATCATCTGCGAACCACAGTCTTTCTGCCGTCAAGTGTCTGGGTCCGGTGAACTTGAGTTCCCGGTGAAAGGTCTCGAAAATTGACAGAAGGCGGGCGCCATCTTTTTTGTACTGTGGTTTGATTCCCCGCCATAGGCTGCTGTAAAGGTCGCTCAAGTCGCTTGGCAGATCCTCAAGCTTGAGCTTAAGATCAGCCAGCAGATCCCCTTCTCGTAACCCCTCGAGGACTAGCCGTGTCACAATTGCAACCCAAAGGAAGATGCCTTCTGCCTTGCGTGTGATTTGTTGTATCAAGTCTTCCGCTTCCGAAGGAAGTGCGGCAGAAAGATCTCGGAACGATGGGCGCGTTTGAAAGCTTCCGCGCACAAATGTAGCCATATCTCTCTCTGTCAGCTTCTCCATACGAAGTTGCGGGCACTCGCAAAAAGCATCTCGAAACTCGTTCCACGGACGACTGCTCACGCATAGCTTGATGCCGGAGCGATTTCGTAGTACTCTCATGAGATCGATGAGATCATCATAATCCCCGTCGAACTCGTCCAAGCCATCCACAAAGATAGCGAATTTAAAGTTTTCGTCGACGCTGCCCAAGTCCAGAGATGTGATCGCCTCGTAGAGTTCTGGCAACTTCCATTCGGGCATTTTCCTCACGGCGTCCTCGCCGAAGAGCTTAAGCATTGCCCATCTGCTCGGTAAAATCTTCAGAGCAACTTCCGGTACGGCCTCAATAATCTGGTACAAAAGGGTGCGCAAAAGTCCCTCTTGAGACCTCTGCAAGTCGTCTTCACCTGCGTTCCACGAGTAGAACGATATCACGTGGACCGGTGCCTTGAGAGACCATATTCGAAGGTGCTCTCGCGTTCGAGGATGGTGAATAAGATGTCTCATCATGGTTGACTTGCCAGACCCCGGTTTCCCCGTGATCCAGTAGACGTTTTTTGAGTCATTTTCCAGCCAGGTGGTGAAGTCGGAACATACTGCTGTACTGCCATCCTGGGATTGGGGCGGGTTTTCGAAGATCCAGTTGTATGTGTTTTGATATGCGACAGGGATGGCTTTCGCGCGGTTTTCGAGCGAAACAAAACGTAAGCTACTCAGCAAAAACTGAGTGCAACTCGCATCATCCACCTGGAGTATGGGCGGCAGTGGGTCATCCTGAGCGTTGTGTTGTTGATCCAGGGAAGACTTTTCGCCAATGATTGCTGCCAAAGCGTTTTGCTGGCTCTCTGAACGAAGTTGTTGTACAAGGCTGCCGCGAGTGGTTGGCTCGTTCACTCCCATGTGAGTTGGGCTCCCACATTCTTCGGCTCTCGTGAATCTCTCCCTGAATACGGAGTTAACAGGGGACTATCAGTGGGATGGAGGAGGACTTACCAAATATGCGAAATCATGGCAGACATGAGACCGGACTTGACGTCTATCAGCTTCCTTTCCAACTTCTCTATTTCCTCTTCCTTCCAAACAAGACTCAATGCCGTTCTGAAGCTTCCAAGTTTCGAATCATTTTGCCAGTCAAGCGGTCCCATGTCCCGCTGGTTGAGATTCACTTTAGAGACTCCATGGCCACGAATGATGGAGATGCAATGCAGAACTTCTTCTCCTGCAGCTTTACAACGGCGGCACTGCTCGAGAAGCTGCATCTCTATGATGGTGAGAGGGCGAGCTGACTGCGACAACGGCGCCATCTTGTGATCGATTGCATATGTCAATTGCGTCAGTTCATTTGATATCTTCGCTATTTCCACAATTCTTGCCTGAGCAAGAGATATGCCAGTGTACACATTGATGCTCTCCTGCAGAACTCGGGTTCCGAAATCAGCGAACTGAACCACCGCGGCCGCGACGGAGAGAATTCCGAGAGCGTCCATGTTGATGTGGCCTTTATGATCGGATGTGACAAACTCGAGGATGAGTGTCGAATCTCAACTGGACCCATATGCCGCAATATTATGGGAGGAGCTGGATCACCATGCCGGGCTGGTGTAGGTTGAGTAAATGGCAACCCTGGGCCGCCAGACTTTCGGTGGCAGCGATAAGGCAACTTCTGGTTTCTTCACGCACCGCGCCTATTGTCCAACGAACTGTTAGCATTGGTCAAAAATGAGGGGTAAGGCAACCGATTTCGATGCACCCCTACGTGGTAAGCTGGAAACAACGTCGCATTGCATCCCGGCCAGTGTCCATGTTCGAGCCTGTTTGGTAGGTAGCGAATACTTCTAGTTCGGGTTGGTTTTGCTCCCACTTTCGCGGTATGTGGTGGTGGGTCGAAGTTCTTTTTATGAAGAAGCGGTGCACTGTTGAGGCTCCCATAGGAGAATGGAGCGGGGAGGAATGACATGAAGGCAAGGTCAACGGGTATCTATAACATAACTCGTGAGACAGACAAAGCAGCCTCGTCCTAGCTTTCCAAAAGTGCGACATCCAACAAAAAAGACTGACCTGCTCCAGCCAAATAAAACAAGGGATTTTAACCAAAAACAAGATTCGTCCAATACGCCATTCCATTCCATCTATTATTACTCCTTTTTGTCTCTAGATTGCTGGGCCCCAAGTGCTGGTGGCCGCGGACCCGCCATTAGTTTCCATCTCAAACCTACCAAGGCTCTCCTGCCAGTTTTGCCAGTCGAAACCCTCATCCATATTAACGTCCATATCTTCAACCTGAAAGTTGGGTACCCGAAGCATTTCGGGCAACCCTGCGCCGGGCCATAACCATGGTGCATTCTCGTCTTTCACGGGCGACCGAACCTGCATTCCCTGAGCTGTGTTCATGTTCGGCCCTGGACCAGGCGTGTGGTGCATCTGATTACCGCCTGCGGATGCCGGTGTGGTGCTGCGATTGAAGTCGGGTATTGCTGCGGGGTTGAAGTTCGCCGCGCTGTCAATCCGTGGCATGTCGCCGTTGGGGAATCCGTAGACGGGTTGACGGCTCGGGTCGAAAGACGGCCCCCGCCATAGGGGAATGAATTCTTGTGGATTAAAAGCTTGATTGGTCATGGTAGGGTCTAGGAATTCCATCATCTCTGGTTTTGGAACTCCCATATTCTCGTTAGGATGGCTGTTGTCATTGGTGAGAACTTCATTGTTTTGTTGCTGTTGTTGTACAGGCTGGGCGGGCTCAGGCGTTGGCTGCCTCGGGGGCGGCACCGGTTTGACTGGTAAGGGTGGCGCATTGACGAGTTTCCTCCAGCGTTCACGGGCCACCGTAATGCTGATCTCCTCTGTGACTGACAATGCTCCGAAAGTGGTCGGCGCGGGTTTGGACTGGTCTTCCAGCTCGAGCTGCATGGCAGCTTGAGGGTTGGCACGGAGACGGGCGGTCTCAGCTTCACGATGCCTCTTGGCTTTGAAGTACATCTTCTTGATGGGGAGCCAAACAGCTGTGTGAGATGCAAGCTTCTCAAGCTCGTACTCCTTTGGTGCTGTATATACCGAGTTCAGAGCACCCCAAGCGCGCTCTGACGCAGGGCCCCAAGCCTTGTGCGATACCTCGATGAGGAGATACGCCACGGCTTGCCATTGTGTGTATGTCTGGAAGAGCCACCTCCATGGTTTTGTTTTTGGGTCGGTATTGAGGATGTGATTCGTCTCAAACACTTCGATGGCGGAATTAAAGAGACGTTCCCGAAGCTCGTCCGACAACTCTTCACTGTCGGGTCCTGGGAACAGCACGGGCTGGTATATCACCAGGGTCATCTTGGCAACCATGACTCGCGCAATGTTTGCAGCCACCCAGTACATGGGATTATCCAGGCAAGAGCGATCCCGGAGGTACTTTTCTTCAACACGCCTGTGTAGCTCGGCAAGCATTTCCTCGCGCTCCTCCAACGAGCTTGCAGCATCTCCCGCGCAAAGAGGTGCCATGGCGGACGATGCCGTGTGCAAACGTCTCGCCAGAGTGCAGATCTCATATCTGATTAAGGAGAAGGTCATATCCGTCGGCCCGTCTCTTGACTCTGGAAAATCCTTCATATCTGGCGAGATATCGGAATCGTTGACGTTAAGAGGAAGTTGGGTATCGAAAGTGCGGTCGACGAGAGTGAGATCGGTACCCTGATCCTCGGCAGAACGGAGATCTAAGACACATACAGCCCAGAAGATACGGCGCCTCATTTCGATTTCGAAGGGGCTGAGGTTGGGGAAGTTCGTTCCGTCTCGATGAAGGCCCAGAGCCTGGCTGATACGAATAAGTAGGCCGGTCAAGGTCCAGGCGAATCTCGTGTCATCGTGGCGGCGGACGAGAATGAGAAAGAGGAGGAATGCCTGGGCAAGGGTGACATCGGGCGTTGTCGTGAAGTTAGCTCTCGCTAGAGCCTGTTCGAGAGCGAATCGATATTGTTGCACGAGGTAATCTTTTTCGGCGCCGAAGTTCATTTTGACCTATACAGTGTGAGAAGAGGGCCAAAGACAACATGTAACAAGGGTAGGCATACTTCATCTTTGTCCATGGAGGCAACAGCAGAATAGTAGATGGCGAACATCAAGGCTTCTGTCGAAGGCGTGAGGCTGTCCATGTTGTTCCGGGCGTGGCGTATAGTCTTGGTCATCGAGGGGACATGAAGCACCTTCAGTATTGGATCGACGTTCTCCTGGAACATCTGCCACATAAACGGGATTTGCGATGGGAGCGGGTGCAGGGGTCTTAGGTCGACATCGGCGGAGCGGTAACCGAAGATGAAAGATTGATGATCTGAATGGCTGATGGGCTGGTCAACGGATTCTGGAGAAGCCTCGTCGTCGGAGTCGTCGGAATCATGGTGGCCGCAATCGATCGTTTCTCGACGGATTTCGTCGAGCTGTATCTAGGTGAGTACTATGCATGGGGAAGTAACAAGAGGGAACGCCCTACCTCATCGTTTATCGCAGACCAGAATCCACTGCTGACATATCTGGTAACGCCCTTCTCATTGAGAACCAGGCGACCAAACTGTTTGTGGATGTCGGATGAAATCCTCCTTAATGGACCAAAAGGAGGCCTGTTGAGTTGCGTCTGCAGACCATGCGCGCCACTCCTATCGGTGCCCATACCGGTTGCCGTTGAGGGCGAGTTCTTGCCAAAATTGCTTCCATTAGGGGTTCCAGGCTTATCGCCGGCTCGTGTTGGCGTGTGGCCGTCCGCATCATGTCCTGCCATGCCTGCCTCAGGAGAGTTACTGGAACTAAACGGAGGTCGCACCGCCTCAAGTTCGATCTGACCGCTAAGTTCTTCGACAATTCCCTCGAGTTTTCGCAGGCGCTTCATCAGCTCCAGCTCCCGCTCGCTCGACGGTTGTTTGGACGGCGCATTCGGGTCTTTTGGTCTTGGCCGGCGCGGCGCCCGCCCAGGGGCGGGGAAGATGCATGGAATCTGTGCTCTCCGGCAGTTGGAGCATGGCATGTGTTTGTCGCACCGAACCTGCAAAGCTGTCAGCGGGTCCACGGCATACAGACGGGCCCAGAAAGGACGGGACGGAACGGGGAATGAGGAGCGGATGGAAGACAAACCTTGCGTCTCCGACATGTTACACAACTCCGGGGGTTCAGAGCACCAGAAAAGGGGGCCGATGGGGGGTAAACAGAAGCGCCCGGTGGCGGATGGTGGGCGACCATATGATGTTGGTGAATGTCGAAGCTGTCGTGGGAGGGCCCAATAGATGGGTGGTCGACACATGGACTCCCTTCCGAGGCGACGCTAATCGCGCTCTGGCTGTCGTCGATAGGCATGATGGCGCGGCTTTAAGTGCCCGGCGAGCGTTGAAGGACGGATTCGTGGTGTAGCAGTCCCGTCTCGGACGATGAAGCTCCACGAAGCACTGGCTGGCTGGCTGGCTGACTGACTACCTGACTTGATTGGCAGCCCGACTAATGGCTCGACAGCCTGCCGAGGGGTCGAGTCGAAGGAGAAAAGAGCTCAGTGTTGGATGGCACCAACGTGGAATCCGAGCTGGAGATTCCTGCTGACTTGTTGGTTTCGGTTGGAGTACGTCTTTTTGCAAAAGGCGGGAATTGGCGGAGTGGTGGTGCCAGGAACTGGACGAGGGGGGTTTGTTGTTGATGGGGTTTTCGATGACAAGATCACCGTGGCGAAGGAATCCGGTGGAGGAGCATTCAGGGCGGACAGGGCAATGGTGGGATGTGGAGGGGAACGATGCACTGGGCGTTCGTTCGTTTTGGAGTGCAAGCCGAAAGTGGTGGCCCGTGGATGATGAAAGCCGTGGCCGTTTTCTAGATTGACGAGAATATGAGTGACCCTAGCAAAAGAGTGGCAGCAGACCTTGCACAGCAGAAGCACGAAAACAGACAGTTGCAGCCCGGCCTGCCACTCACCACTCACACACATAACCGCACTCACGGCAACAACGCCGCCAGACGGGAGCGCAGTCAGTGCCTTTTCGAGCTCTGTCGGGACACACTGGGTGGGGCAAAAAGTTGACTGATCTTTTGCAGTTTTATGGGGATGATGCTAAGGAGTGCCAGGTACTGCCTTAACTAAACCTGCTTTGCCTGGCTTGGCTGCCTGTTAGAAGGGACTCGGAGCTTCTTCCTGAGATGTGCTAGCCTCTTTGGGCCTAGATCAGTCAACATCGTGTGCTGGTGATCGATTGAAAGACGCAGAAATCGTCCACAGTTTGTCGGGCACAGCATGGATGATGGATGTTGAGAAGATGAAAAACCCGGAGAACAACACGAAAGTGCACGTTCCAGCTTTTGCCGGTTTCAGGGCCAGGATGATTACGCAGTGGCTGGTATACATTATGTACAAGAACACAGGCCGAGGACCGCAGACCAGGTCGAAAATTCAAAGTTCAGCAGCGAAACCATCCTCAGACGAGGGGTCCGATAGTCCTCCGACCTGTCCGGATTTAGCGCCTTTCAATGTTTCTCCAAAGAGGCGGATGGAGGGCGGTCAATCATAGCCTTTCTCAGAAAGTATAATCTAAGTAAGTCGGCCATGACATATTGGTGACTCAGGACCTTGGTATGAAGAAGAAAAGAGATGACGGTTGTCGAATTCGACCAAGGCCCGTGCTGTTGACACCATTCAATAGAAGAGAAAGAAAGAGGTCATCCTGGTTGAAACATTTTCAGTGATGCAATCTGCACGGTGTACGTACCTGAGCCGACCGGCTATGGATGATGTAGCACCAAAAGTGGCACTGCGGGGCGTTCGCCGTTAAACTTCTTTTCGTTTTCTATCGGATAAGACTTCATCTTCGCGGTGTCACTGGCTGGTTACGATAAATTCTTTTGACGTGATTCATTCACCGTCTTTTTCATTGCTCCAGATGCCCCATTGGTGCTTAGTGGAGGTTATCTTTGTCTCCCTCAGTGCCATCACATCGTTGAAAAAGAGTGGTGAGGCGAAGGGAAACTCAGCTGGCTACCCAAGTCAACATGCCTCCTGAGTCCTCTCCTGGATCCGAAAGCTTGCAGCTCAACGAGTTCATGAAGCATGCTAACGTATGGATGAGATATTATTCGATCGGCTAACAAATTCGTCTTAAAACATGGGCAACAAGTTCGCTTGAACTTTCTTGGAGGGGCACACGTTAGCCAAGGTCCACCAGACACTCTAACGGGATTGAGAAACCCCTACGTGCTCTGAGTGCCCAACCGGTCTTGCACATCACGACGGACACGAGGATCCACAGCCATCCAGAACATCGAAGTTCTCAAAAAAAAGTAAAAAAAAAAATTGGGCGATGCTTGTTTTGAAATACGATCACGTCTAGGCCCGTCCCAAGACCGTCTAAATGTAGGCTGTGATCGGAACGAGTGGAGATGGCCTGGGTGAAAATTGAAGAACAGAAGGTGAACCAAAAAAACCATGGCATATGAGCCATATCCACCTCAGCCGCCGCATCCTCGACTTCATTCGGAAAGAGTTCATTGCCAAATCCAGCTGTAACAAATAACTAAGGAACCCAGAACTCCAGTGGTATCTCGCTCAAAGCCTGGATCAGCGTCGACGCTCGACGTTATGGACACCAACCGCACGGGCCCTCCCCCTTTTCCCTGGCCATAGCCACCAACTCGGATGTAAACATAACACCAGCTGGCTTACAGTTACCAGATCGACCAAGTCCCCGCGCTATCAGATTATTCAAGCAAAGCCTGTGTCAGACTACCAGGCTCCCTGAACCGGTCGTTGAAAAAAGTCGCTTCTTGCCGTCTTCGGTGGCCATGTACACCCTGAGGTCGGCCTCGCTCATCCATGTCCAGCTCTCGCATTTCAGCGGCTCCATTATCTGCAGTGGAGGACACAGCCAGGTTACCGTACAGATCTCTTCGTCAAAGTCCAAACAACGGGCTGGCAAGAGGAAAACTTACCTCGGGTTTCTGCTGCTCATCAAGCCTCTTGCAAGAGACAAAGAGGGTAATGTAGTGCTTGTTCTCCGCCTCAAAGACATCGTTGGTGAAGCTCACATCTTTCTCAGCAACGACCTTCAGGCCCGTCTCCTCCTCCGTCTCCCTCACGGCACATTGGAAAGGATCCTCCCCGAATTCAAGGTGGCCACCGGGAAATTGCAATGTTCCTGTTGTCCAGTTAGAGGTGGTCCATGTAAACAAAACAATGCTGTTGGGAAAGCGCGAAGGCCATCATGGCATGTGGCCTGCGATGAGGTCCGTGAAGTCCGTGTCGACGAACAGGGAAAGGGATACAGGAGTGCTGAACGTGGGAGGTACGTACCGGCTCCATGGGACCCCTTTCTTACTCCCACCAACATCTTTCCCTCCGCATCTCTGATGATCGCTGCGACGCCCACCCGAGGGACATCTTTGGCAAGTAGAGGTAGTTGCGACGCCATTGTCCAATCTTTTGATTTGCTTCTTGTTTGGTTGGCGTTTCTGCGCTGACTTTTCTCAGTGAGTGATATCGCTGCTACCGGCCGATGAGTTGCTTTTCTAGTTTTGTTCGAACTTCCTTTACGCACTGTTAGTTCCTTGGTCTCACCAATCCAAAATAATGGAACTCTTACACGTGGCGACAGAAGTGACTCAAAAGCATAACAAATTAGCAATGCCCCTCCCTCAACCCTCCGGGGCTGACGGCACAAACTCCGGCTGTGTCCGGCCTCCCCGCGCACTGGAGCCTTTGACACGGTGTTGCAGTAACCGCAAGGCAGGCACGCGGGCAAGACCCCGCGCACGCTGCGCCGCGGCCCTAGAAACTGCCCAGGAGTCGCCTACCAGAACGCCCGCCAGGGCAGTTTCCATCCGATCACAGGAAGCTCTGTGCGTCTCCATCCCAATGCGGTGGTGACCTCCCAAGTCCAACGGCCCCCGTATCGTTTGTGCAACAACATCAAAAAGCCAACAACGAACCGCGCCAACAACAACGACGACGTCAACAAACCAACCGCCAAGCCAAGCCGTCTCCTGAAGCGAACATGACGGGAGACTTTTTGATTCCACTTGCCGTAGCTTGCATCCGCCTGTCAAAATGTCTTGGCTTGATGACTTCCTTGCCGACTGAAAGCGGATTGCAAAAGAAAAAGCGGACAACGTCAGTGGACGGATTTGCATCATGGTGCACCCATGCCTTTCCATTTTGGCGTTCCATGTTTTTGGTGGAGCAAAGACACACACAACCGAATTGTTCCTGGGCGCGCGCGAGGAATTTTGGCCGCCAACAGCCGCCGCCCGGCTGACAGAGCAGTCAGTTCTTTCTTGCGGGAAGGATCGAGATCGTTCCTGACGCTTCCTTTCACCAACTTTTCTTTATGAGGCATAAACTATGCTTAGATCAGACAACAAACAGTACAGCCCGGCTGGCGCAATCGGTAGCGCGCAAGACTTCTAATCTTGAGGCTGTGGGTTCGATTCCCACGTCGGGCTTGCATGCTCTTTTTGATGTTTCGCAATCATCCTTCTGTACTTTTTCTTTTATTGTTGTCATCTCACTTTTTCTGCCTGGTCTTTGCTCCATTGCTGGTCATCATTCCTATGTGCAACCTTTCGCAATTCAGGCGATATCATGTTGGTTTTCACATCTCAAACGAGATCCCGCTTATCGTGGAAAGGTTGTTTAGTCCTTCACGTACCATTTGGATTTGATCTGTTCAAAGAGAGCACCATGATGCGATGCATCACCAACCATTTTTGGGACTAAACCAATGTTTCATCATCTACGCAACCCCACCTCTTGATTTTATTATACACCAGCAGTTTGGAACCCCTCCCTACCTCCATGTCGGCGCCGCGTTATAGCGAGAGAAACCCTACGCTACTCCCTTGGCCTCCTCGGATTGATACTCCAGGACCCTGCATGTTTGGTTTCAATCCGACACTCTTCACTGCCGGCCAGATTTATCGCCGAGATTTCTCAAAGCGGGCCCCGAAACATGCAGTCCATGCTTCAGTCCATATTACCCGCTGGCTATAACAGATATACATATGTTGCAGCGAAAGCCACAACAATGAGGGGAAAGCGGGAGAGGCCTAGAGTAGGGCTGGCGGTAGTTGTGATGTCTACCGTGTATAACCCCTACAAAAAACCTCCCATGAACACCATATCTGTAGTCCAGACCCTCCGTTACGCCCCTCATCTTAGGCAGGTCTGATCCCAACTTAACAAAGAACCCCCATCTTCACTGCCTACTGCAACAGTCAACATGTCCACCACAATCCCCGAAACCTACCCCGACCCCGAGTACGAAGCCGCTCACCAAGCCACCTACGAGCGCATTCCCCGGTATCCCATCACCCCCGTCCTCCCGCCGGGAATTACCCACGAAGTCTGGACCAAAGCCATCCAAGCCTTCATCTCCGTCCTCGGCATGGATGCCGTCCTCATCGACTCTGCCTTATTCGATTACATCGACCCGTACGACCTGCATGAAGCCTCTTCGACCGCCTCGTCCGAGTCAGCGAACGAAAACTCCCAAAACTCTAACAAGCGCAAAATCCCCAGCGCAGCAGTCTGCCCCAGCTCCACAGACCAACTGAGCGCCATCCTCAAGATCGCCAACGAGTACACCATCCCACTATGGACTTTCTCGCGCGGCAAGAACTTGGGATATGGCGGACCGGCACCTCGAGTGAACGGTTCCGTGGCGCTGGACTTGCACAGGATGAACAAAATTATTGAAGTGAATGACCAGTTCCACTACGCGGTCGTGGAGCCAGGAGTGACGTTTATTGATTTGTATCGATATTGTGTCGACCACGGGAAGAAGGTATGGCCGAGCACGGCGAGTTTGGG